GTTGTGCCATTGTCTTACAAATTATTTGTGCGAAACTAACTCTGGTCGACCTCTTCTAATTATGAAGTCGACCGGATCTGTTTTACACTCAATAGCCAAAGCATTTGGGCCATTTCAGACTCGTTTCAATTTAGCCGAGGTCGACCTATGATGCTTCTGAGGTTGACCTATGAAAGCAAAAGTTCGAGTTGTGCCATTGTCTTACGAATTATTTGTGCGAAACTAACTCTGGTCGACCTCTTCTAATTATGAGGTAGACCGGATCTGTTTTACACTCAATAGCAAAAGCATTTGGGCCATTTCAGACTCATTTCAATTTAGCCGAGGTCGACCTATGATGCTTCTGAGGTCGACCTATGAAGGCAAAAGTTCGAGTTGTGTCATTCTCTTACGAATTATTTGTGCGAAACTAACTCTGGTCGACCTCTTCTAATTATGAGGTCGACCGGATCTGTTTTACACTCAATAGCAAAAGCATTTGGGCCATTTCAGACTCGTTTCAATTTAGCCGAGTTCGACCTATGATGCTTCTGAGGTCGACCTATGTAGGCAAAAGTTCGAGTTATTTGTGCTAAACTTATTGAGGTCGACCTGTGATGATATTGAGATCGACCTCGGGCCATTTAAATCGATTGAAAGCCATATGTGACTTTCAGCAGGAGTGCAGTGCAGGACATTAGGCCACCTTGGAATGCACTCGAAGACACAAACGTTTGCTGCCTTCACCGAGTTCTCCTTTGCAACCCTATGTTGGCCACCGACAAGCAAACAACAACAATATAACAAAGAAGACCCTAAAACCTAAACTCTCTTACATCCATAAGAATGGCACCGTCCCGCATGTCCCGTTCTTATGGATGTAAGAGAGTTTAGGTTTTAGGATCTTCTTTGTTATATTGTTGTTGTTTGCTTGCCGGTGACCGGCATAGGGTTGCAAAGGAGAACTCGGTGAAGGCAGCAGACGTTTGTGTCTTCGAGTGCATTCCAAGGTGGTCTAATGTCCTGCACTGCACTCCTGCTGAAAGTCACATATGGCTTCAATCAATTTAAATTTTCCGAGGTCGACCTATGCTTCTTCTAAGGTCGACCTATGAAAGCAATTTTGTACTTGAATTGTTACGGGTTTATGTCGACCCATTCTCGTTTTAAATTAACTGAGGTCGACCTATGCTTCTTCTGAGGTCGACCTATGAAGGCAATTTTGTACTTCAATTGTTACGGGTTTGAGTCGACCCATTCTCGTTTTAAATTAACTGAGGTCGGCCGCTTTATGGAGTGGTCGACCGCATTTTGTTCATTTCGAAAATGTTACTAACGTGTATTCTTGCTTGTTTGATCGCAGGATGTTTGGCGGCAAAAAGAAAAGAAAGTCACAAAAAGCTGCTGCCTCAAGTTCGGAATGGGAAGAGTTCAATCCCAATCTGTTCCAGACCAAGGAGCAAAGTGACAACTATGAAGAGAAGAGAATGCACAACCGTAGGGTGGCTCCGGGAAGGCCATTGACGACGGATGCGTATTCTCATTTCGAGAATTACGGGTTTCTGGGAACCTTCATCGATCGCAATGCACCATCGTCTACGAGCGCAATGCAAATGGATCCATTCACGCATTCAAATCCTATGTGAATGGGGTGGTGATGCGCATCAGCAAGAATGTGTTGGCGCAAGTACTAGAGGCTCCAAACAAGGGGAAGAGAATCCATTCTTACGGTGCTTGGAATGAAACGCATTTCACGAGAGCCAAGCAAATCCAGACGCTATGTGGTCTTGATGAAGAGGAAGATGCTCAGGGTCGCAATAGGCCAACGAGTAACCACCTGACAGTTCAAGCCAGAGTTCTTCACCACTTGCTTTCCTACAACATTCTGCCAAAGGGTGGACATCGGGAGACAGTCACCTACTTCGACATGGAGCTCCTCACCAACCTACTGTTAAACGAGAAGGTGAACTTGCCATACTTGATCTTTAACCACATGCTTACTGTTGCAGAGAGTTCAAACAGGAATCTTCCCTAGGGGGTGATCCTCACTATGCTATTTGAGCATTTTAATGTGAATTTAAGTGAAGAGGTGGGGTTAAGAATCACAAGACAGGAGTTCTATACTGTTTCATCTCTGAAAAAGATGAGCTTTGAGCTGCATAATGGTGAGTATGTCAGAATAAACAATGCTCATGGTGCCCATGGTGGTAGTGATGATGATGTTGGTGATGAAGGAGCCGGAGACGAGCCAATGGCGGAGGCACAAAGTTCAACTCCACCGATCACCTTAGAGCGTGTGTGGGAGCGCATGGATGGCATGTACGAGTACATGGGCCAGATGTCCACCCAGATGACTGGCATGTACGAATACATGAGGCAAATGACCGCCCAGATGAGCACAATGCAGGTGACCGTGAATGAGATGCGAGATGAGTGGCGATCTTTCAGCGGAAGATACATGCATCCCACCACATCCGACCACCATCATGCTAGCACCACCAATGAAGAAAATGTGGATGAGGGAGAGAGGGGAGATGAGTAGGAGCGCGGAGATTTTAGATTATGTGTTTTTATTGTTAAGTGGTCAAAACGATTGTTGATTGTTATTCTGTTACATAATTTATACGAGCAAAGGAACCACACAAATCGACATACATAAGCAAAAAAGACACGGGGCATAGGTTGACTTTCTTGTATTCGGTCGACCTCGTACCGGATTAGGTCGACCTCGAAACCAACACTTGATCTTCATTTTACGTCAAATTATTGGACAGATTGATAGATCACTTATCTTCTATCTGGTCGACCTCTTTCCTTATCCGGTCGACCATTTTGTTAATGACTGCCATCAAGTGGTCGACCTATATACCTTATGGTCGACCATGTTGTTTCTGACGCCAACGAAATGGCCGACCGAGGTTTTATTCTGGTTGACCAAAAATAACAACTTAAACTAAGTGCGGTCGACCAGGTGGTCGTTGAGGTCGACCGCAATGCTTTCTCGTGCTGCCCAAATTAGTCAATTCGGTCGACCGCCTTCAGGAATAGGTCGACCGAAAAGTCCATGTCACGGTGACATGCATGTCATAGTAGGCATACCCTATATTTCCATATTTCTCATTTTATTATTTCCATTATTATCGATGGTTGTTAATTAGGGAAACCGATATATATGTGGGTTAATTAGAGAATTTTGGTATTTAATAATAATTTAATACAATATTTAAAAACTTAATAATAATTATGAATCCATAACCGATTTTTGCGAAAGCAAAAGTCACTGGCGACAGATCTGACGCCGGCGGGAGGACCCCGTCCGACGCGGGTGGGCAGACCCCGTCCGAAGTAAGCGAGCGGACCTCGTCCGACGCGAGAAAGCAAACCCCGTCCGTCGCGAGAGAGCGGACCCCGTCCGTCACCGGTGGGCGGACCCCGTTCGATTGCAGGCATCGGACCATCCATCTCCGTCCAATCCGGCCAGGTCTTGCTCTCACGGTGTATCCCTCGTCGTAGCCGCTACAAAAAAAATGAGGAGATCGAGAGCCGAAAAGCGGATGAAGATGGTGGAGGAATCACCGCATAGAAAAATGAGGAAGATGAATCATCGACGGGAATTGCGGGGAAAAAAAGAGGAAGGTAAGGCCGGAGGCAGCAAAAGAATAGGTAGTTTCAATTAGGTTTTAATTTGTTGAAGGGCAAAATAGACATTTTTTCTTAAATTATGGGCGGCAAATAGTAAATACACGGGCGACAAATAACTATTCATATTTATAAACCTCACAATCTATTGAAAACTTACATATCTTATTGATTGAATGAAATGAGGTTTAAGTACACTTTTTTTATCACCAAACTCGACAACCAGAAACTCCTTTACCCCATTCTACCATGGATTTCAGGGTCCATGACTAACCTATCTAACAATCTGAGCTAAAAGCTCTCAAGAGTCAACACACGACTCAAGGACTCAAATGCAACAGAACAAGACACAAGTACCTAAACAGAACTAATCCAAACGGTTGCGTATAACACAGACTCAACAGACACAAGACACAACCAATAAACCAAAACGACACCGCAACCTTTATTTGACTCTTCCTGGCGCCAAACCAATTGAATCTTCCTAGCGCCAAACCTCAATCCTAGGTGCTGCTCAGATTCCAGCCTTCTACAGCATCTCATAACTCTAACAATATTTTCTATTTAGTTCATTTTCATAATACATGATCTTTTACATTCATATATTGTTCTTTTCCCTAATAGTTGTACAAACATGGCACAGTTTTTACCTTATATAATGTCACAATATACGACCACGTATATTCTACGAAGAAAAGGTTAGAGTTGCAAATTTCGAAAAATCATCCAATCACTACGACAAATTACATAAATAAAAAATTATTTGTGAAAAGAAATTATCAAAAATTAAATTTAACGTTAGATGAATTCTTACCGTCTTATTTTCCGAATTAAAAATTCGTTGAAACTCAATTATTCTATAATATATGTTTGTAAACAAGTCATAAGTTTGTGTGGGCTTGTAAAATAGTGATCATAAACAAGGATACTAAGCTCCTTCCTCCATCTTAACTGCTAAATCGGTAAAATCCACATATGACAGATTTCCTACAAAATCTAATAAAATAAAATAAAATAAAGAGATTTAAGTTTATTTCAATTAAAACGATTAGGATTAGTGGTCTCAAGCTCCCAATTAGCCTCTAATAACATGCTGGCCACCGCTTCCCAAAACTGTCCTATATCCGTTATGCCATTATACAATTGGGCACTATTTAATGTCACATATATATATGAGTTGCTCTACACGTCTCACATGACTTGCTTCCCTCTAAACACATTAGTCCCTAGTTAACCAGTCCAAATTAAACAAACTCTTTTCCTCGCTATAAAAGAAGAAAAAGAACCCTACTGGTGACCATAACGATATCACCATTCCAAACTTCCCCATTGTTTTGCCTTTCTTCTACCCCAGAAGCACCTTGCTAGTTGCTCCATTCCCAATGGCTGCCGCAACCCATTTCTCAAAAGGATCATTTGCCCTTGCGTTGGCCCTGTTATTAGTAGTCATTGCCTCTGCGGAAAACTACAACCCTGCTACTTCCACCACTACTTCTTCAGTAGTCAAGCCTGATCATGATCGCGAACCCGCTAATTACAACAGTTATTTTTCGACGACAGAGTCGAAGAAGCAGCTGAACTCGAGGATGCACCAATACGAACAGCGAGAAGTCGAACATCTACCGAAATCAGGAAAAGGGTACCGTTCGAAATCGGAGCTTGTGCATCCTCATGATCAGCCGCGAATTACCAGCGACGACATCAAGGCATTGGCCCCGGAAGCAGAGAGGCCAGAGGTTCGCTTCGGGAAGAAATCGACCTACAGAGCGTATGGTTCAAAACCGGAAGACGTGTTTGCCAATGGTGTGGAAGGCGTCGTAGCTTGCAAATCGGGATCCGACTACTACCCTCTTCACGGTAACCAAAACCCGAACTACTATTCACAAACAGAGTGGAAATGGATGATATCATCCACCACATATCAGAATTCTTTATTTAATCGATTTTAATCAACCGAAAATTAGTTGTTAAGGAACATCTCTAGGGGGAGAAATGTTGCGGGAATTGCATAGATAATCTAGAGTTCTCAAAAATGCTGTTGCAATTTTTGCAGGAGCTGTGGTGAGAATAACTTGCTCGGGAGAGGAAGAAGAGTCGCGGTGCTCAACGGACGCGAGGGGCTATTTCTTCAAGAAGCTGCCGTACTATGGTAAACTAAAGCCAGAGCTGTGCAGGGCCTTCCTGGAGAAATCTCCATCGGAGAAGTGCAGTGTGCCGACGGATGTGAACAAGGGCATCAACGGGGCCAAACTTTCTTCGTACAGAATCCTCCACGACAAGCGGGTCAAGCTTTACCCTCTCGGCCCGTTCTTTTACTCCTCCAAGTATGGTCAGCAGCATCAACTTAGTGCACGGCAGCAACAAGTGTCCAAATCCCCCGCCGGCTACTGATGAGTTATGATCCCGAATTTTTATTTTTGTTTACCTTTTGATCCTCAGTTCTTTTTTTTTCTTTCCGGAAATTATGTGTCCTCTGTTTCTCTGGCTCTATCTTTGCATGTGGGCTCGTTGTTTAGTTTTTCTCTTCGGTTTAAGAATCTACCATTCTTTGGTTTGCTTAGTTTGTTTATGAATTTGTAATATACATACGAAATTGATCATTGTTATCGATGATACATAACTTCGAGATACATTCAACAATAAAAATTTGTGTACTAGTGTATTTATAAGTATATGTTATTAGGTTTTACTCGAATGTTGTTTATTTTACATGTTTTTTTTTATAATGGTGAAACATATTATTACTTTTCAAAACAAAGCAAAAGCAGAGAAATACAGAACAGGAAAGGAAAGGAGGACCCGCGCCAAACACTCTCTAAAACAGAGGGGATAAACAGGCCCCAAGCACAAAAACGGAGAAAAATAGAAAGCATCGCACTAAGACTAAAACCCAGCCACACAGCAGGTTACATGTTATTATGTGTTATGTAGATGCAAACATATCGTTTGATGAATCAATATGTAGTTATAGGCAAAAAAGTGGAAGAGAAAAAAAGACATAAAAGCGAATTCTCTAAAATTCCTTCCCAATACTTCACATAAGAAATTCAGATTATTAGGATTTAACAAAATTGGGATTGTCCATACAATTCTTCATTATGCTCTTTTTCATTAAAGACGATAATAATCAACTTAAATGATGGGCCTTTGATAGGATGTAATTATCACAACCCAAATTATCATGATCATCAACGGTAACAAGCCGGCCACCTAATCCCCAATTATCCATCATGAAACCTAATCCCAGCAAAGCACAGAACAAAGACAAACAGCAATTAACAAAAGTCAAATAATCGACGTCGTCTCATTAGACAATAGCGTAGTAGGTTTTCGCTGGTCGGCAAAGACAGAAAACGACATTTCAATTATCTCATAATAATAACCATAGCCCAGCCCACATAACAGTTACATACACAGGGGGCCCACCTTTCCACTTAAGCTGTGGGCCCACCATCCATCACCCCCACCACTCAGAACATGTTATTCCCCCCTCACAGCTGAAAATAAAAATACACAAGGGGGAAAATAAAATGCTCACTTCACTCGCAGATTAAAAAAAACAAAACAAAAGGGAGATTTTTTATTAAATATTACATGACACAGCTCAGAACAGAGCAAAGAGAAAAACGCTGCAAATCGTGGCCGTCGATCTTCCATCCTCACTTCTTGAAAGGAATGGCCCTGATCACGACCGTGTGGTACAGAGCTGCCAGCGCTGCTCCGATGAATGGGCCCACCCAGAAGATCCACTGCAATTGCATTAAAAGTTAAATCATTTTGACTGACCGGAATAATTGTTTTATTAGCCATGGTTAAAAGAAATAATAAGTATTGGAAACTAACGTGATCATCCCAGCCCTTGTCCTGGTTGAAGACGATGGCGGCACCAAGGCTCCGAGCCGGGTTGATTCCGGTGCCGGTGATCGGAATCGTTGCCAAGTGGACCAAGAACACCGCGAACCCAATTGGCAGTGGCGCCAAAATCTGGCGAATCAATTCAAAAAGACCATTAATTTCAATCCAAAAGAAAAACAGAGCACATGCGATTGAGCGAAATAGTTAGTTAATTACCGGGACGTGGGAGTCTCTGGCGCTGCGCTTGGCGTCGGTGGCGGAGAAGACGGTGTAGACGAGGACGAAAGTGCCGACGATTTCAGCACCCAGGCCGTCTCCTTTCGTGTAGCCGCCGGCGACGGAGTTAGCACCGCCGCCCAGAAGCTGAAACTGCTGCTTCCCTTCGAACCCTTTCACAACTCCGGCACCGCAGATCGCGCCGAGGCACTGCATCACCATGTAGAACACCGCCCTCGTCAGCGACAGCTTCCTCGCCAGGAACAGCCCGAACGTCACCGCCGGGTTTATGTGTCCTCCTGTTAAAAAAAAGGTCAGTCAAATTGAATTCCTGAAACTGATTTTTAAGCTCCATTTGAATTTGAATTGGGGGGACCTGAGATTCCGGCGGTGCAGTAAACGAGGGCGAAGATCATTCCTCCGAAGGCCCAGGCGATGCCCTGGATGCCGACGGTGGAGCATTTTGAGGGGCTCTTGACGACGCCCATGACGGTGAGGACGCTGATGTAGAGGAAGAGGAAAGTGGCGATGAACTCGGCGATTCCGGCCCGGTAGAAGGACCAGGAGGTGAGCTCCCCTGGCTCGAACAGGGGAGCCGGCGGCGGCTCCCTGTAGTCCTTGTCGTCGTGGGTTTGAGCCGCCGTTCCGATCGGCTGCCGCTCGTTGAACTTGTTGGCTCCCAGTCTGACATCTTCTTCCTTTCCCTCCATCTCTCTCTCTCTGTGAATCTGCCGGAAAAGCTCTGTGTTTTTTTTTTTTGTTGGTGGGGAGGCTGTTGCTGGTTTGGATGAGGAGGTGAAGGAGTGTGATGAGGTGGGTTTTATAGGATGGGGGATCGTGTGGTGGAGGAGTGTGAGGGTTTATTGACTAAACTATGTTGAGCAAGGTTGTCAAATCGGTTTATGTCGGTGTGCCGGTTTTGTAAGTGGAATGATTTAATCGTGGTACAACCAGTATTCATGTCGATTGTACCGGTTTTAATAAATTACATGAGGAAAATGGAAATCTTCAATTTCAAATAAATTAGTCCCGAAAAAGCAATTAGAATTTTTTTTCCACACAAAATAATTTATAGCTAAAAATTAGTAACTAATACTAAATAATTAGATCCTTCAAAATAAAATTATATAAAATGAATTTTATTAATGTTTATAATGATTTGTGTAAAATTTAGTATTAGATATATAACATATAAGGTTAATATAAACAGCAAAGTTGCTTGTAGTCTATTGGTGTATAAGTTAAACTAAAATGAACATGAGATACTTGGTTCAAATCCTATGGAGGATGTTTATTTTTGGATATAATGTGTGTAACATTAAATTCTGGTTTCTGGTCTAACCGGCCAGAATTTCCTGATTTGACCACAGTTAAATACCGCCCCTTTCCAGCCGGTTTGCTGACCAGTGCCGGTTGTACCTGGTTCAACCGGCCGGCATGAAACCAGTTTGAAAACCATGATGTTGAGTGAGATTTAATAATGAATTTTATACGATATATTAGCACGTCTCAAATGAAAATCATTTATATAGATTTGAAATTTTTACAAATTATAAATTTTACGTGTTTAATAAATAGGGAAAACTCTACGAAAAAAGGTTGATCTATTCGCTGTTCAATTTTCGGATTAGAATACAAAGTAGGCTAAATAAATCAATGGATAGTGTTGATCCTCTTGAAAATACCGATAGAAGTTAAAACCGAATTTTAAATGATACAGGTAAGAATATCTATAATTTGAGTTCATCAATCATCATCACTCAAATATAAAAACATCTTAATCATGAAAACTCTAATATTATATAAATAATCAGTTACTTCCTATAACTTAAATTGTTAAAAGAGATTCAATAACATATGCTATGCCTATACCACCTATATAACATTATTTCGAGCTATACTACGACCGACCATTACCAATCATGGATCATTTTTGTGGGGAGGGCGGGAAAAGAAAATGGGAGGAAAATGGGGGTTTTGTTTTTTCGTTAGGTGAAGATGTGTTGTCGTTTTTTGGATGGGAAACGCCATTGTGGATGAGTGCTTTTCATAGTTGTCACAAAAACTTGGCCATAAAATGATAATGATGATGATGGCTCGCAAAAACCCACCGCCCATGTTAGAATAATGGAAGCCTCGGCGGCCACTGTTGGAGTGGAGTGAAGAAGAATTTGGCTTGGCTATGGAATTTTACATGGACTAGCTAGGGTTTAATTATTGGACTAGCGCTCATTTCCTAATGTATGAATGCTGAATGTGATTTTCATAATTTGTAGCTACCGGTTACGTGTCTGAATGTTAATCAGGTTACAATTATTACAAGAATGATGTTGATCGAAGATACATCACTTGACAAAATTATATAATTGTACAATACTAAATAACGATAATAATTAAGTAAATTTGACAAATTCAAAAGTTCATCATCTAACAAAGCTGAAAAAGATCACGTCTTTATACCATTTTACTCTCTTAATATCTTCTACATCGATCTCATTTTAACGAGAATCGAACGGAGAGAAAAGGTAAATCAATGTGGAATAAGTAAACTGTTCCACTGTTGTTATTACAATTACGGTGCTACGTACATAATGCAAAGCCGGTAATAGAATGTAGGGCTGGGAAAATAGACCAGACCGTTAAAAAAACCGTGGTCCAAACCGTACCGCACAGTTTGGTCTGGACCGTAGACCGTGAAGTATGGTCTGGTCTGGTCCATGGTCTGTATTATTTTATGATTTGATCTCTTGGTCTGGTCTGGTCTAGACCGCGGTTTACCGGACCAAACCGTAGACCCAACTGACTTATCAATACGTGTTAACAGCCCATTCGACCACTCTCCAAACTCCCACAACGACACCCAAGTCTCAACCTTACTTTTGTGAATCTCTTCCCTCCTTCATTCACAACCACATTTAACCACAAAGTAGAGATAATCGTGTCTCCATATGACATTATGTTAATGTTTATGACATTATGGTGCAAGCTGGGATGCTTTTACTTTGTATCTTTGTTATGTACTAAGATTTAGAGTATCAAAATTATTCATGCATGTTAGGATTAATGTTTTAAGGCAAATAACAATTATTTTTCTTGGTTATTGGTTCAATTTTTTGTGTGGTTAATTAAATAAATTATTCATTTTTCATTGAGTGTGGTCTACCTGGACCAGACCAGACCGAACCAGACCGCACAGGCGTGGTCTGGACCAGACCGTATAGTCTGTGGTCTGGTCTGTGGTCTATACTTTAACCTCTCGGTCTGGACCGTAGACCGTATATATGGTCTGGTCTGGACCAGACCGCACCGTTTCCCAGCCC